ATCTAGTAGCTTTATTATTTATGGCGATTCTCTCAGATTAAATAATTTCCGTGCAGCCACATGTTTGCGTTTCGCAAGGACCATTATTATTGCGACATCTGAGTAATCGCGTTCGATGGTCGCTCGATATTATAAGAGTTTTTATTCGAACAAATCACGTGCAATCAAATTTTTTTGGTTACATACACATTCTAATGCAATTTATTCGACGTCACGTGTCCCATTAGTCATTAGCGTAATTAACAATATGTGATTTTTTTTCCACAATTTCAGCTCGGTTTCTAATTATCTAACCAGTGTGTTTCATTAACGTCTATCAATGACCGGCGATGCGCGTTTGCATCGTTCTCGATGTAATCCGATGATGGGATTACAAGTAACAAGCTGACGGAAACCCATCACTGTTCGTGCATCGTCGTGACGTCGTTATGCTCTTCATTTGATTAATTAACCTTATTTTCTAGAAATAATGAATTAATGTATCTGTGTGTGTGTGTGTGTGTGTGTGTGTGTGTGTGTGTCCACAAAATTAATAAAACCTCCCGAGTCGAAATTTTGGCCCTATGTTAAACCTTTAATTCGATTATATAATAGGACCTAAGACAGTAAAAGAGGTCGAACTGCAAGTACAAAATTTACTCCTACTTTCAAACTGATAGTGTCGGAAATTTCTACTTTTGCCAATTTAGCATTAAAGTAGGTCCTTTTAAGTAGGAACTAAAGTAAAATTTTAGAATTAAAGATTCAAGGGGGGAGTAAAAAAATATAATGTCATCAAAGTAGCTGATCTATTATACATATGTAGGTGTATAGATCAGCTAAGTAGGTGTACATTATCTTTAAAAGTGTTAAAATAATACCAAAATTTCGAGCTATTACATAATAGTTCCACCTTTTATTCGCTGGTATTCGCTGGAGAATCTTATCCCTCTAAATAATAGATTAACGTGTCTAAAAATAACTTTTTTAAAATTAACTTTCTGTTTTAATTAAATTAATATTAAATGGATAAGAATTATATTATAAATGCATTAAAAAATCGTTTTATGTTTGTTATTTTGTGCGTTGCTAAATGGATATTCCCAAGTTTTATGCAAAGAGCCAAACCAATGAAATAATCGCGCTTAGACGACGTTAAACGCGCCATATGCGCAATTGAATTGCAAAATGTGCAAGGAAGGGAGCCGTTGACTCTCCCTTTGCCGCTCGCGGGCAACAAGAGCGCGTGATTAGGCTGGTCGACCAGCAACGACAAGATGCATATCGACGGGGACGACATTCCTTTTAATTGCTGACTGCCGGGATCGAACCGACCGGTACGATTTTTCGAACGGTCGCCAATTAGAGATCCTGTCGCTACGATATAGAGAGAACGTTCTTTCTCTCATTCGCCACTGCGAAATATCGAAATCTCGTGAAAGCTAGAGCCAATCCTTGATGTTGAACGAAGTGTCGTAATATTAAATACACGTTGCTTTCTTTGAGCTTAATATTACCTAATATTAAGTTTTATTATCTTGATGGAAAAATAGAAAGCATAATAATTGATTAATAAAATAGGAATATATAATTTGCAGAAAGTCAAATCTTTTTATCGAGGCAATTTTCTTTATATATTTATTGATTTATCCTGTTTTAAAATATTATTTCTCTTTATTAAAATTTTTATTATTACCTACACTATTATTTACAATTGAAAATTAAATTTCATTAAAAAAGTTTCCTCAGCAAACTTTCAATAAAAAGAGCATACAAGGAATTCTTGACCAAAGATATTTCTACGCTGTCGATAGATTTAAAAATAGAAATAAATCTTATCAAATTAAAAGCACAGTTAATCGAACCTATATTTTCATGTGTGGAAATTTTTTATGTTGATCAGATGCTTTTGAGAAAATGAATTTTTTCATGTCCGAAAAAGACATCAAGTATACATTTGCAATACTTCAAAGTGTACTGTAATTATTTATTATGGTAGTACATATTTTACCGTAATTTTGGAAATTTTACCGCCGCGAGTTGTGTCTCGTTGCTCTTCGGTGAGTTATTCGTGCGCGGGTATAAATCGCTGCAAATTGACAGCGGCGTCGCGCGCGAGTAGTCGCGTTAACAAAGGCCAAAGAGGAGCGGAGGCAAGAGCTGGGGCACGGATAGCGCCGGAACGAGTCGGATAATTCATTCTGAGTATTAAAAGTAATTGCCGAGTCTTATTCGAGGTGAAAGAGAGTGAAGAGGGAGGATTCTATACAGCGCCGCGAAACAGAGTGGTACCTCTCGTTGTTCCAGCAGAACACGGGATAAATTTAGAAGATCTCGAGAGAAGGACTTAACTGCCGCTTCCAGGAAGAAGCACGACGGCGAGCAGAACCGTTCTTTCCCGCGAGGCGATATTATTACCGCGGTTCCTTCACGACCACCGTTTATCGCCGATACGCAGGCAAGGACGTTGGTGCATACCGTTTCGTTCTTAAGGTACTGAAATCTCCAGGAGACTTTGTGTACCAAAGACACGAAAAGCACCTAAATATGTATTTATATAGCTATGTTATATACAATAATATAAAAGAATCAAAGTCCCTCTTGGAAGAATTAGTATAATCATTATGTGTGAGAACACTAACGTCGAATCTACGTCAAATCGATCGTCAATGGGATTGAAACCGCGTCCCAACCGTCAATTTTCGATAATAATTAAGTCATCTTTATACTGTTATTGCGACAAATATTACCACATGCCTCTCAGTGGTCGAATTGGTGAGACGCCTGCCTAGAGAGTGAGGGAGGTCCAAGTCCAATTCGCAATAAATTTTCTACATTGACCGATTAATTAACAAATGTAGCCAGCTGTGGTCGAATAAAATTTGGAATTTAAAGGCAGAGTTTGATCTCTCTCGGTAGTCTCCTTGCATCCGAAACAATCGCAATGCATAACGGTTCCGCCAACCTCCGCCCTACTTGCCGCGATGCATCATCGCCGATGCATCGCGAACAATGCACCATTCTAATTAATCAAAGCGAACTTGGCGAGAGCATCTCCTGGGGAACGCGAGCAAAATATGGCTGCCCGTTTGCCGATTCTCATCAGGGCACGACCGGATCTTCGCTTCGAAACCAATCGAATATCGTTCTTTGTTTGCCGCGAATGCAAAGATCACGTATTTAATTATTCAATTTTATATCTTTTATACATAATAAGTATAATAATATAGTAAAATGTGTTTAGAAAATATCTTAATATTTCATTCCAATTTTCAATAATAATTTAAATTTTTTCTTCTTTTCTTAAAATTAATTTTCTTAATATTTTTATAATATTTTAAATATCCTTGAAAAATAGACATTTCCAGGCATTTCTAATGCGGCGTTAGTGTTTTTTATTAAAAAAATCATTTCCAAGTGGCTTAAATCGTTTCTCTGAAACGAGCTGTCCAAATGATTCAATCATTACGCACGAGCGCAACATTGTCAGTTCGGATAATGCTTACGCACACCGCAGCGAATCGTCGTTTTTCCTTCTTGATGCACACGATCGGTGACACACGAGACGACACACAAGCTCGCTCTCGTTTCACTAACGTCAGTCGTGCAGAATTTAGCCCGCAAATCGCGCGATCGCGAAACGTGCTTGCCCGAGGATCTATTTCTGCGGCCATTCACATCGAAAACATTGACTCACTCTCGTCGACCCGCGGATGTCTTTGAACTCGTTCGCTAAATAAAGAATGGAAGAAGCTGAAGAGAAAGTAAAAGAAAAAGATACGTTCGAGAAATGGTTTGCCCAGAAACTAAAAGTTTTGCAAAAGTAAAATGAAACAGTGAAAATATTCATGAACCAAAGTCTAATTCCTCTGCTATTTACATAGAAAGTAAATTGGGTAAATTATTTATATATATAAATTTGGATATAAATTTTTGGGTACGATTATTCGTTGCGTCTAAAGTTCATTTTGGTGATAGATCGATCCATTCATGAGAATTATCATCGATTTTTTCAACGATAAAAATGATTATCACCAATTTCGTCAATTATCGAGCATAAAGAGAGATTTGCATCTTTACGAATATTTTGAGGGTGTTCAAGATCGAGGATACTTGGAAAAATATCCGAAGGGTTTACTCTCCCCCCCTTGCAAGCTGCTAACGGGAAATGAATTTTTTAAGCCGATTTAATTAAAGGATGCTATTACCCTTCACGTTTCATCGCTGTTAAAATTCCACCCAAAATTTCGTATTCTTCCCTCGCGAACGATTATTTCACGAGATAAATCGCACTTCCAAGAACAACGTCGAGAGCCAACAGTATTTATGTTTTCGTATTAAAAGTTATACAAACAAACACATATATGTATTTTTATAATTAGAAGATATTATCATTGATACCATTGTCTTTTCTTCTCTTATTTCTCTTTTTTTTATTTCTCACACATGCCTAAACTTCAACATATATTCTTATATATGCGTAATTGATCTTAAATGCAAATTTTTTAAGAATTAAAAACAATTCTCTTCCATCTTTCGTATGTATCTAAATTTATATATATTTTATAATATACTTAAAAATGTAATAAATGGTTATGTAAGGATGTAAGACTTGATTGTTTATTTCCCATCCCTGTTAGAAGCGCCTAAGGGTGCTGTCACGAAGACATACTGTTCTTACTTTCCGCAATCCTCATTATTCGTGACGGTTGGTTGCGATTTCCTATATATGCGAGAGAATATAATTATATGATAGTAGGAAAGAGAGAGAGAGAAGAGCGTCGTGAGTCGGCCGGTCGCCGCCGATCTATATCGAGAACGGAAAAATGCAAAACCAGATCCGCCCGGTCGCAGTCGATCGCCACGAGAAGACCGGTTAGGACCTCGCGTCGCAGGTCGCGAGTCTCCTTGGTACCTTCAACCTACGACACGCGATTCGAATCAGTGGCCATTGTCACTTGGCAACTCGTATCTTACGAGAAAGAAAAATATGAAGAAATAGAAATAGATTGCCTTAAAAATATTTAAATATTGTATGTAATTTATCTCAATTTTTGTATCAATAAATAAGAATGCCACAAATCAGATTATAATTCTATCAATTGAATGGCCTTTTCAGTCAATTCCACAATTTTTTATTTAAATAAGATATGAAAATCGTAGATATTTATAGTATGTAAACCGAGTTTATAATTCCTTTTACTCTTGTTCTTTTTTGTTAATCAATTTAAAAATATCCGCTTCAGTGAAAGATACAATTTTCTCAACTACGTTTAATTTTATGCCATCAAAGTAAGAAGACAGATGTGTAAAAATATATTAATATCCACGTTTCCTCGAAGGACTTACACATAGCGGCAAAGTACGTGGCACGCGATTCAGGAAATCCTAAATATACCGAATAACCGGTTTTGTCGTAGCTCGTCCGGACAAATGAAAGAACAAGGATCGAAATACAATGAGATATAAGAATGAGAATACGTCGGAAGTAGCAAATAAATATGTGAATTCCACCCACGACAGACGATATATCGATTCACGATGTCGATATTAAAAATAGGCAGATTCACGAGTATATATGTATATATTTTTTTATCATTTCTGGTTTTATTTCTCTTTCACGGTCCTATATTTTTCATTTCTAAATTAATTGGGTGGAAAGAATGCTACCTGTGCGCTTCCGGCGAATTTGGCAAGCTTCGTGCCTTCCTGCTGCTGCTACTCCCGCTACTTCCGCTATTTCCCATGATGCCCCGGGGTTATCCCCCTTTTTTTCTTCGAATATTTTGAAGATGACTCTTCTTAAACTGGCGAGACCGACTGCCTTAAGTTGCACTTCATATTATATCATTGTTAATTCATTTACATTCTTTTTAATTAAAATAATTAAGTACTGTTTTATTGCGTTAGAAATAAAGTCGTTTATATATTAATGATTATTTATTCTCTTATGAATGTATTATATCAAAATATTTTAAATAATATGTCAAACTTCACTCCGCATCATTTCATTTCATCGCTTTATTTAATTCATTTTACAAGTTCCTTTGTTGCTTTATTAAGGAGCGGTTTCACTAAAATGTGGAAAAAGTACGTAATAACAATAATTTATCAGTTTATCCTGTTTATTGTATCCTCGAGGTTGCGACTTAACTATCGAGTTGTATCGATGGACCCGACGGTCCCTTCCTCTCGAGATTGTTATTATCCTCGTTATAATAAGGGCTCGTAAAACGTGGGAACGAAACACCGGTGATAAAAGAGATCTACTTCGTGCTGAGCTTCTCAATATCGTCGTTCCTCGTCGTCGATCGAATGACGAAATTTATTGTTTAAACCGAGCGTCGTTTTCTATTTATCTGATTTCAGATCCTAGTTTATCTTGCATTTTATTCGTCTTGTTTACTGTACCAATCTTATTCACGCTCCGAGATGGAATCGTTTTTTTTTTCGATCTCTTCAACGAAAGCAAGATTCAACTGGATGAGAAGAATTTGCGTAGGAGGGAGATCCAATACTGAATGCTTACATAGAGAAAATCTTGATATGTCTGATGGTTTCAAGTATCAATTTTAGGATTTGATAAATTTCAATCTTGAAATAAACGCATTTAGTCTTCTTATTCTCTGCTGTCGGCATAATTATTTACGTATTATTTAGTGGCACATACATCCAAGCGCGATAACTTAGTATTCTCTTGTCACATTACTTATTTCTAATTCTATTAATATGATATCACTTTTATTTTTATCACTATATATTATTCTCCTATAATAATGCTTGTACTTCTTTTCATAATTTCCACATTTCACTTTTGTTTCATTTATCTCGTAGAAAAACTGGTCTGTTAACCGAAAGACAAGTGTTTCGTTAGAAACTTGAAATTCACCACATCGGTTCCCGAACAGACATTGTCCTGAGAAATCGAAAGCATCGACTTCGAAGTGCCTCCTCTTCACGAGACGCTGAATAATTCACCCTCAAAATTCATGCATATTTCATCGATTCTACCTCATCCTTGATTCTTCGAATTCTCGCTATTGTCACGTTATCTCCTCGGCGATTGGTGAGTCTACGAATTCGTGCCCTCAAGATTGACTTTAAAGTCATACAGAAAAATATCGTCGGATTTCAATCTTCCTTAGAGTTGTAACGCGCAGTTGCAACAAGTTGCATTCTGTAGATTCCAACTGCGAGAAAGGACAAGGATCTCTCCGAGTACTCCGCAATTCGATGTTAGCGTGCCAACGGACACTTTCGTCGTGAATTGATCCGACTTGCTGCTCGATCGACCGACTTATCGTCGATCGTGTGATGAGATCAGGTTAGATCCACATCCTTACGGGATCGATACAAAAAGACAAAAACACACGGAGAAGCTCTTGATTCTTCGATCGCGGTAGAAGAAAAGTTACGTAACAGATTTTTTTATCGCGGAATTATATCTTCATTAATTAGTTTTCCTTAGCTTTATTAATATTCACTTTAAATGATTATCACATTACGTATATATGTTTCGTTTTCTATATTTTATAATATAATTAAATTAAGTTTTAATTTTACTTATGTTTCAATTCATTAAAGTCAGTTTAAATGTGAAAAATTTATTTATCTTATATCGGCCATATTCGCTCTTTTAAATCATCGTCATATATTTTACATCAGTTTCAGCTTAATCTCCTTTAATTAACTCTTGATTAAGTAGAAACGATCAAATTGAAATCGAGATTCTCTCGCAGATCAATCTTCCCGCGTCAAACACGTTCAAATAGATGATATCACAAGAGCGTTTTCCTCTCACGTTCAAACATAATCCATAAACGCATCGTCAACTTCCATCCTCTTCTCTTTCTGTAGTACCACTTGCACAAGCGCGATCGCTATCGATTCTTGGCGAGGTCCGAAGACCGACACTTCACCGCACTCCGCGCATGATCGAGCGGATCCATCGATCTTGCTGCACTCGAAAAATTCGCGAAACAATATGATAGAACGACGAGGGAAACGAAACGAGATGAAGTTCGAGAAACCGTTCGGTTCTCGAGAGCGTCATCGACTCAAACGACGACGCCTCATGGCGACCACGGGCGATCACCACACTCGGTCGCGATGGTCATGGTGGTGTGGCCATGGTGTGTAGGCATCGTTGATGGCCCGTTTCGAACTGAACCGCCGCGAAAGGCCCGGCGAGAGAAGAGAGAGCCATTCCCGTTCCCATAGCACGTGGTGCTCTCTCTCTCTCTCTCTCTCTTTCTCTCTTTCTCTTTCCTCGCCGTTTCCCCCCTACGCTGTGGTATCTCGCGACCCCTGCTCCCCCTCTTCCGTCATCGGCATCCCTCTCGCTCTTCCGTTCACCTTCCAGCCCCCTTCAGGTCACACCAGCTTCCCCATGCAGATACACTCTCCCCTTCGTCACTCTTTCTCTCTCATTGTCTGTCTCCCTTGCACCCTTTCGACGTCTAGCTAGACGTCTAGGCCCTCTCTCTCTCTCGCTCTCCCTATGGTACTCCGAGGTTGTTGCGCTTCTTTGTCTGAATACTGCCTTCTCGCACCCTCCTATATCCCTTCTTCTCTTTCCGTCTCTCTTTCCCTTATTCTGTCCCGTTCTCTTTTCTTCAGGTACACCCTCGTAGGATCGGTCTTTGTTCCTCTTAGCCTCTCTCTCTCTCTTTCATGATTTCATTCCATCTTCGTTTCTCTCGGCCTCTCCCTCGCTCGTTTTAGCTCTCGCAGCCTCTCTGGAGCCCGTTCTCTTCGACCCTCCTTCTCTCTGCGATACGTAGTCAGCCAATGGCGGACTCAGTCTTCCCTGGGAGCCGACCAATGCCAGCGGTACGCTCGACGGATTTTTAAACCATTTTTATGCTAATACCTCGCGCCCGACGTTGCACGTGCACGCATGAGCATGTATCACGGACGTATTGTGCGTACAGTCTAACGAGATAGGCGTACGCGTGTGTGTGAATTTTTTTGTTAGCCTTGACCCTTGCTCGTTTCCATACATTTTTATCTCGAGTTCTTACAATTAGATTTAAAAATTAAATTTTGACCAAGGTTTTTTAAAATTTGCTAAATTGTGTTTAAAAAATTCTTTCTTAAAAGAAATAAAATTATTACTTTTGATTCAATGAAAAGCCATTCATAATCTTATAACGATAAACAATTGTGAATTAGCGGAGGAAATCTTTCAACGAATTAAGCATCAAGGCTATAACGTGACAAGAAGGCTTTGTTCTCCATTCAATTTCGAGGAAGCTCTTCGTTCTAATAGATTATAATAAATTTTCCACAGACGCGTGAATGAATATTTGACATGAATGGATACTGTATTTCATAAATCAAGTTATTTATTGCAATTAATGTACTGCAAAAATTTTTAACGTTAAACGAGAAATTCTTTTTAAATTTTCTTTTAATACAAAAAATTCACTAAAGAATTTTCGTAGAGCGAGTTCAGGATACATGTTTTGAGGTTCCGAATATATGATCTTGAATAGTCCATAACGCGCCCACGCGGGGGGACTAGGTATACACTCGAGGCATAATGGAGTATTGTTAATATGTTAATGCACACGCGGCCTGCCCGAGGGCCCCGGCTTCGCGTTTCTCCCGCCCGAAGAATTGTTATGCGCTCCATTAGATCCAAGCTCGAATGCCCCTTTGCTCGAGAGAGATTTCTCTCGGCGTTTCCGTTATCTCGACGCTCACAGGCCAAGAATTTTCTAGTTTCAACGCAAACATCCCCTAATTTGATCTTTACGGTCTAAAAAGGTCGGTCTAGGGTCAATTTAAATATTGTTACTTTATAAATTATATGTTACTTTTTACCGAAGTAGAAAGCACAAGTTAGACATCCAATCATACGAAAAATTTACAATAATTTTAATGGAGTAAAAAGATTTTCTTCATGTTGCTCGAAAAATTAATTGTTCATTCATAACTTTAATTGGTTAATTAGTTTACTTATTATAGTAATTATCTTTTTAGTTATTATATTAGAAGAATTTCTTTTTCTAATTTGCAATCGTCTACTATGTTAAAAAATTATAGACTTACTTATTTATTGAAATTAGGGCTAGTTATTTAAATTTCTGCAAAGAAATAATTTTATAATTGAGTGTTAAACAGATTTTAAACAATGAGAAAATCCAATTCTAAATTCTGACAGATTTTAGACGATACAGGGTGTTAATGGAATTATTCAAGTTACAATTTCGGGATGTTACTCATCCAAGCAATTCGTCGTTCAGTCCAAGAAGATACTGCGATTTAAAAATATCGACCTTGACAGTTGTGGCGCTTGCCACGTGCGGCATCCCCGCGTATGCATGCGCGTGCACGCGCGATTAATAGGAACGCAGTCAGTCACCCCTAGAATAGCTTTTAAGAGATATGCCCTCTTTTTCATCGTGTTTATCTCCCTATCTCATTGCTGCGAAGAAACATTTATTGATTTTTTATTTTTTCATTTTACGTCGATTTACGCGGTTTTTCGTTCCATTTGGATACTCTAATTTAATCAAGTGCTTTATATCCTATTAGCAATAAAATAGATTAATTAATGTGTGTTAAAAAATTTGTAAGCGATACAACAAATTTTCTCTCCCCTCCCCCCCCATCTTCCACTCTCTTTCTCGCGTGTTTCCATCTTTCTCTTTTCTCGGTTGCTGCAATTAACTGCGGAGTAATTAAAATATTTGAAGTTGCCTCGCTCTCGGTCGTGAAACACGTTTTCTGCGTGCCGAAACATTGGTATAACTGTATGCGCTTTACTCGACGTCGATAACGCGAGGAAGCAGACGAGAAAGAGGCAAAGAGTGAGAAAGAGGGGAGGTATGCTGGTTGATTAACGCAGACGTTAATGAACGCCGCAGCCCGGCCGCTGTTCCACAGGACGTCGGTATCGATTCGACTGCGCGGCGGGAAACAAAGCTCTCGACATAGATCTCAGGTCGCTGCAAAATACAAATGCCACGCGAAACAAAGCCCGTATCAAATCATGCAACAAGAAAGAAATAGGGAACAATTTTTTAAGTTAATTCTTGGTGGAAATAAATATTAAGTATTTGATTAGAAAAAGAGATTATCAAAATAAAAAAATCAACGTAATTTCAATACGCAACGAATAATTCATCAAGTGTGCAAGCTTTAATGTCGATTATAATAGTATTATATTAAAATGAAAAATTTAAGTTGTTAAACTTAAAAAACATTTTCCTTTAGAATAAAAATAATTTTCGAAATATCTGCTAAATTGATTTGTGACAGTTGGTCGTGGCTTGTCAAAATACTAAGAATCTTAATAGTATAAGGGCTTTGATCTCTGTATGAGTTGGCCTCTTTTAAATTTTCGTTAGTGTTTAATGTATATCTCTTCAGGTGTCACTTCAGTACACCATAATCTGATTTAAGCAATTTTATCGAGCTATAATAATTCACTCACGGCTAAAAACCTCTAAGTAATGACAAGTTTCGAGTCCATAAATTCAATTTCAGCCGTACAGCGCTTAAAAGCTCTTCACTGACATTGAACGTCATTAAAACGTCACCGCTCATCTACGTAATGTTTCCTTGTCGGCTCGTAAAAGTTGATCGATTACGTGAAGAATCTGTCGATGTTTAAATTAATTCAACGAATTTTCATCTTTATGGACCAGCCTTTGATAAATATGCTACATAAATGACGTTTAACTAACAAATGATGAGGTTGATTGTTGTATTAAATATTGATAATTGATTATTGATAAAGCTACAACTCCAAGTTATCGAAGCACGATAGATAAGTACCACCGACTACTATAGCAGATCTTATACACACTATATCGAAAGTTTCCATGGATTCGTGCATCGCTATTTTACCGACGTTGGGCTGTACAGCAAACCGATGGTCTGTTTCTAAAGACTGAAGGATCAGGGAGAGTCGGTATGGTCTACGGTTACCCATAAACGGTATGACGAAGAGGATTGAATATTTCGAAGATATAAAAAAGATATCAAAAAAGGAATAGAAAATGTTTTTAAAAGATCGCAAATGTTACAAGTTTAAAGAATTCTTTACAAATACTACAATTAAAAAAAAATGCGGCAATTTAAATTGCAAAAATTCTAAAAATTAATCAAATCCTACAATTTAAAATATTAAAAACTAAAGTATTTAGACCTCGAAAGTTTGCTTGTGTATAATACAGATATTTATAGTTCTAAAAATACTAACTTGATGTAATAAATACTGATAATTGATAAAGCTACAAAATACTAACTGAAATAAAAGAGTTTAAAGATTCAAAACTTTTAGAGAGTTTCAAGGTTTTGTAAATTTAAAAAATTAAAATTAAAAAATGTTTCATTTCAATAAGGCTCTAAAACTCTATCTTTGAACCTTTCAAAGTTATACATATATCATGATGACAGCCCGACCGAAAGGAATGACTTACCTGGGCATATCCTGTAGTTGCTTGGCTCGCTGTTTGTAACGTGACAGGGCGAAGAGCAAAGCCAACACTGGCCACAGGGTTGATCCTGCCGCCAATTCACCCGGATTCACAGCACCTACATCCGCCCCAAGAGCCCGCAGTGCTCCAACACATAAACTTACGTTTTCGACCTGGTAACACAAAAGCGAAGTTTCGTTATTGATCGTATTTGATTTCATAAAACGCAACTTTTACTACTCTTTTTTTTGCAAAATACATATATACTTGTGTATTTTTTATTTCCACAAAATTTCAAGTTACTTTCAGAGCTAATTTTTAAATTATTTATCAATTTGTAGCATTAAACTTTGCTCTTAAAAAAATATAATGCATTTAAAAAAATTAAAATCAGTGCGGGCCGGTTCTAATCATTTCTCTATCAATTCACTAAAGTCTAACGTAACTATGCAAGTTCTCGATATCTAGCGAGAATCAGTTTTACAATCAGGAACCCAATAGAGGTATAGATAACATTCTCTACCGTGAAGAGGAGCGAGGAAGGGAAGGCGGAAGAGTATAGGATGTCCTCGAGAGAGATGCATACAAAAGCCCTTGCTGGCTTTCCGCACGGTACACCACACGATACGTACAACGCGAGAGTGAAACGTGACCGCCACGATCGTGGCTACCTTGCACACACGTGCCCACCGACCTCTCGTTTCCATTGTTTCTGATCCCGGCTTTTGCCCAGAAAACGAGCCGTGTCGAGGCACTACAGGGTGGCACAAGAGAG